AAGCATCAGACATTTGGTCTGAATACCACCTGTAATTACAAAAGCTGTTTAATCCACATGCTCCAAGGTATAAGCTGACAGCCAGCAGAGCTGAGAAAGAAAGTTCTGTCCCTTAATATGGGACAATCAGGGCATAATAAGCCATGCACTGAAGATTTTTCCGCAGTGTTGAAAATACCAATTCCCACTGGAGACTGATCCACCATATGTCTAGTCTGGTGCAGAGAAAAGTCAAGAGAGCTGGTTTGCTGCTTTGATTTCTCTCTCTTTTTAACATGAGAAGGATGAATAGCTTGCTGCACTGTTCCAAGTGAAGTGCATTGCGGACTGTTTTAAGTAAGCTGCAGTAAATGATACGTTATTGCCAGGTAACCTTCAGTTGCCTCACTTTATTCTCCTGGTTTACACATATGAGTAAATCTTTCAAAAAATCATCACGATTGATTAATGGAAATAAACAAGGACCTAAACTATTCCCCTGGTGAGATGCAGCTTCAGTGCTGTAAAAAAATTGAGGTATCTCCAATTGTACTCTCTTAAATATAATTATTAAAGAGCTTTTGAGAAAGAGAGGTGTTTAAAGTGAAGCCCTGTCCCAAGAGCCAGCATATCTTATTTTACGACAACTAAGAAGGCATGCCCAGTGAAACCAGCTTCAGGTCTTGGCTGGCCACCTGTTCTAGCCCTGGTTAGCTGGGACATCGTGTGAGCAGTCCCATGGCTTTCTGACAGGGTAGCTGCTCTCTGGGTGGCTTTACACCGTTTGGTGGCTAGAGTGGGGTGAGGCTTCTAGAAATAGGCGATGAAGCGAGGTGAACGGCACCGCATCTAAATGCCTGACTGACTACAGAGGCAGCCTGGTAGGAGCTGTTGTTTGAACTTTTCCCTGCAGGTTACTCAGGTAGATTCTGCCCAGCAATAGCATGTTGTATGTGACGTGTCTACGGTTTCCCACACACAAGTTGGAGTCTGTCACCGAACTATCTTTAATAGCTTTCCATGCTGCTATTCTTAGATAGAAATTGAGTGGTGGCAACTAGCGAGGGCCAAAGCACGTTCATTTTAATCACGTGGCTAGGGACTGTTTGCCCCTTAATGAGAGCCTGAAAGAGACCTAATATACCAGAACCATTTTTTTTTTCTGTCTAGAAGCGGTTTCTATTAACAGAAGCTTTTATTTCTTCATACCAAATTTTCTCTCACCTGTTATAAGCAATGCTGTTCCGTGTTGCATGAAATACTGGCATATGTACATACCTCAAAGATAAGAGGACCAAAGTGTCTTAAGAAAATGACTGCAGAGCTCCCTGCCAACTGTAATCTGTATTTTCCTCTCTTTTGCTTCCCTCTCCCTAGGTAACGTTTCAGTAAATCCTAGCACATCTGATGGGGGAACTTTTACGAGCGACTCTTCAACAGTGCAACAAGGAAAGGTTTTCTTCAGCCCCCTCACTCCGAGCGCGGTCGTTTATACAGTTCCCAATTCAGGTCAGACGGTGGGATCTGCTAAGCAAGAAGGACTGGAGAGAAGCCTTGTGTTTTCTCAGTTAATGCCGGTCAGTCAGAACACGCAACTAAACGTAAACATGTCTTCTGAAAATATATCCAGCGGAGGACTCCAGTACCTGGCCTCCTCGTTAGTGAATGTAACGCCCTCACATAATTTTTCCCTCACACCACCCACTCTTTTAAATGCTGCAGAACTGAACTCTGGTATCTCAGAGAGCCAGTCCATGTCATCACCTGTAACCAGTACCTCTACCGTGATATCTATCAGCAACACTAACTATGCAACCCTTCAGAACTGTTCGCTCATTACCAGTCAAGATCTCTTGTCCATTTCTACAGCACAGCCCGCACTTGGAGAAATAGTTTCTGCAACCGGAGACCGTGTCAGCCACCCGTCTGCACAAGTACATCAAGATTTTGTCAGAGAGCACAGGTTGGTTCTGCAAGCTGTACCCGATGTCAAGGAGAATTTCTTGCCTAATTCGGAAAGTAAGTCAACTGGCAACTTAATGATGCTGGATTCAAAATCCAAATATGTTATGAGTAACATGGTTGACACGGTTTGTGAAGAACTGGAAACGGACAAAAAGGAGCTTGCCAAACTGCAGACAGTTCAGATGGATGAAGATATGCAAGACTTGTAATTTTTTTTTTGCTTTCTGTTTCACTAGATAAGTCTCCTGTTGAGGCCCTAACAAGCACCAAGAGGGGTGTTTGGTTGTGTTTGGTTTTTTTTTTTTTCATTTAAAGAAAATAGAAGAACATTTACATGGTCTGAATTAATGTACAGAGGAATCTCCGGCAATGGAATTAGGTTGCCACACTTGGTTTGCATGCAGTATTCTCTTTTAAGCAGATTAAAGGAGAAAGGAAACGCCAGGGGAAGTACCAAACGAATGGGTACAGGTTTGGCTAACTGCTACTCCGCTGATAATTTAAGTAGACTCTCCATAGTACAACATGCTCTCAACAGTAAGTATACACTCCTAACGTTAGGTAGAAAACAAAAATCTCGCTCTGAAAAGGTAGAAACGATGCAGTCATTTTCGCTGTTTACTTCTAGTCCATGGGCATTGAAAAATTTTTAAGAACTCTAGACGATACCTCACAGGCCACTTTTTTGTTGTCTGAGGTTAAGAAACGAAACAAAATCATGAATAATCTTGTTACTGGTGTGTTTGCTTTTTTCCAGCAGACTTGTGTTCATACCAAAAATCTCGCATCAAACACTTACAGGTTTCTAAATGCTACAGCTAGCATTTTGTCAGTGCACCAGAAAAGCATCATCTGAAACTCTAATTATGCAACTCAGAAGCTTTCTCTCCAGTATGAATGTAAATATTGTTTCAGTTCTTATAAAGGAGACTTTTTTTTTTAAATTAGTACAATGGATTTTATTTATGGTTTATGTTCCCTTTTACTTTAGACACAGTGCATTGAAAAGGAAAACGTTTTCTGGCTGTTTAATTTATTTTTATTGTTTGAGCAGGAAGTAAACGTAGTTATTTCTGACAAGGTTTTACTTTTTTTGTAGTTTTTCAAGCAATAGACTGTAAAAGTAAAATGTTAATCACACTGAAGCTAGAAGATGAGCTCCCAGTCTCACAAACCCAGGAGGTCCTTGTCTCTACCCCCTCTGTCTTTGTGTTCAGGGGTTTTTTGTTTGTTTTGTTAGTAATTTGCAAATTAGTTGAACCTTTTTTTTTTGTGTGTATTTTTTACAGAATTCCATGTGCCTTTCTTCCTAGTGGCCTTATCTTTGTTACTAAAGCACAGTAGCAGGAGGAATACAAACACTGACTTGCAAATATCCGTCCTCAGGGCCAAATCCTGATGCCTTACTTTTGCAAGTAGACCTGCTGACTTCAGTGCCCCTACTTGCACGAGTAAGAAGAAAGAGTTAAAGTCTTTTGGTCGTGGTGGGTGACATTTACCAGCGGTGCAAGGAGCCAAAGATAGGTTCTCTGCGCCGCGTAAGCCAGGCAGGAGGAGTCGGTGGAGGGCCCACGGGCAGCACAGCCGTGCAGAGGGAAAGATCTTGGCTCCTGCCTGGGGCAGATGAGTGTGAAAGGTTGGCTGGGCGGGCCAGGGAGGGGAGTCCCGTGTTTACACGGCCCCCTTGGCCAACCAGCCCGTGTGGGAGAGTTTCAGCTGCTCTTCAGCAAGCAGGCCCCCATCCAGGAGTGCACTTAAGCGTGTATTTATGTATCCTTCCAGAATAAGCAGCGCGGGGGCTGACGGTGGGGGCTGCAGCTGCCCGACAGGTCCCTCCCTCTTCGCCCCTCCGCCGGAGCAGCAGGAGCAGGCAGGCTCGAGGCAGGTGGAACACATTTCGCCTTTCCTCCAGAGGAATTTTTGTAGCATGGAAAAGCACATCCTTAAGCTTTAAGAGAATAATAATAATACTACAGGTGTATAAAAATGACATGCTGTTAGTCTTTGTGTTTCTGTTTTATTTGTATCTCTTATTCTAATGTGAATATATACAGTAGCTAAGGCATGTATTCATCCTCACCGGGGGCCTGGTCCGGAGCCTTTGGAAAGCAATGGGAATGTTTTTCATACACTTCCGTGGGCTCCGCATCAGGCCCAAGACAAAAAAACACTCGTAAAGGACAAAAAAAAAACAAAATTGAAAGGAAAGAGAACAGAGGTAGCACATCCCAGTCTGTTTCTGTCTTGGTTTTTACCTGGTTCCATGGAAAGACTTTAAGGACCGAAGGCATGGACATCCTGGCTGTTGTTTTGCACTATATCCAAAGCAGCATGTTTTGCAAGGTATTTTGTGAAATCTCCAAGCTGAACTCTGCTGGTGAGCACTGTAGTTTTACACCGTGAGCCAGAGAGTCTGGGGTTGCAGGGAAAAGTGCAGAGAAAGGGAAGAGCAAGCGTGCGAGGCATGCACTGTGCAGCTCTAAGGAGTCAGCGGTGCCTTGCAAACAGCAGCAGCCCATAAGCAGTTGGCTGTCCCCACATGCACCCAAGCAAAAAGGGTGCCCAAGGCAGGCGCTTTAAAGTGGAGATTATCACAAGCAGAACATGGAGCTGTATGTTCCCCTGGCACAACTTCCTTGACGCTCAGGGGATCTCCGCGTGAGCAGGGAATTGGATAGTCCAGAGCTCTCCTCTCTGCTCTGGGGGTTTATCTGAGTACCTTGCTGGGCTCCAGCATGGACACTATGCTCCCCCCCTCTTCTTCACCTGTAAAACCAAGATGATGATGGTCACAGTAGCCATATCTGCATTGCATTAATTGATCAACTGTTTGGAAAATTGGAAGGACCCTGTGTTGTCGCATTAATGGAGAACATGTGCATGGAGCGAGAGCTGTGCGTGGCTCTGAAGGGGTTGTTCAGGGCTTGACGTTTGGTCTGTGAAGCTCGGATTATGTTTAAAGGCAAGCTAGAGAATACTTCAGAGCACTCTGTCAGTTGTTGAAGCAATCAGGTCCCATAAATGAAAAGACTGTGGTGTTACGCCAGTACATGTTACTTTTTTTTTTTTCCTCCTTTGCATTCATTGTGTTACTGAGGCTCTGAATCCCATGGCTTTGCAGCACAGTTGATGTAAAAACTGTGCGTGTTGTTACAGTGGTGCGTATCTTGGAGTGTCTGGTACTTCAAATAGGAAACCTCCCATTCCTTTGGGGGAACGGAGGATGTACGTAAAAGCAGCGGTTTGGGACAAAGTAAGATTAATCTATTTGTCTTCCAGATATCGAGTAACTTATTTTGTTATTAGGTTTTTACTCTTTCTTTCTCCCACTGAAAATAAGTGTCATTCCCTCCAGATGATGTAGGTGTAACCTCATGTTTTCTGCAGGTACATATGCACAATATAAAGACTCATTGCACGGTACAGTGTTTTTAAAATAGATATTTAAATGGTAGTTTTCCTCCTACTGTAAATTAAGGGTCGGGTTTTGTGGCCCTCAAGCAAGAAAGTTAACGGCCCTACCGAGACAGTACACAAAGCCCCAAGCAGCATCTGGGGCCAGATCTTCAGCTGCTGTAAATAAGGCATTGCTCCACTGTTTCCTGACTGAGGATTTTACGTGGTGTTTAGGAGATACGGATGCTCATCTCCCACGTGCATTAATGGCAGTGAGCATCCTGAATCTCACAGACAGTCCCTGTTACCCTGTTCTGTTTAAGTGGAAACTGTCTATCCTGCGTAAATACTTCTCCTCCCTCCCTGTTACGGATGAGAATAAAGGATCATTTCAACTTCACGTATGTTTGTAACTTGTAAGTCCACTGGAAATCTTACAGGAAACGTTGCCAAATTCTACTACTTTTCTGGTCCCAGACTCAGCTTGGAAAAATATGCTTAAAGTTTAAGCAAATTCCTACAAAGCATGAACATTAAAAAAAAAAGTCTTTGTTCTTTACTACTTTTAATTAAAGCTGCCTCTATTTCACCCAGACTTTTGCAGAGAACCAGAAATGTACCGAATCACATGCTCTGTCTGGACTATTTGCAGCATTATTCCTGTGGTCTTACCAAAAAGGACATTTCAGCCACATAAACGGTGGGCATCTATCGGCCAGGTCCTCGGCTGGGACAAACGAGCACAGTTCCACTGACTAATGTCATTTCACCCCAGCTGAGAATGTGGTCCATGCATTTCACTGGAGTTGGATCAGGGACGGATTTGGCCCGGTACGCAGTGGCAGCACGAAGCGGTTCACTAGGCTGATACTCAGACAGTTATAACTGAACAGCAACCATCTATCCAAGCATATACCTCTTTCCATTTATTGCTTTACCCTGCCTGTGGATTCAGGAAGACGCGTTCAGAAAGCTATTTTCCCCAGAAGTAAGCCTGGAAGCATCTTTAGAGTTGTCATTATCAAGATTAATGACAATAATGGGAAGATTCACTGCAATAACCGTGGTCAGTTAAATTAAGCGAGGCAGAATTTGGCCCCATGTGCACAGGAACTTTTCCTGTATGTAGATTTCCAGTGCCTGTGCACTTTTCTTACCAAGGACAGACGAACAGCCAACGGGGTGCATCCCTCCGATTTCACACGAAACAAATGTGCAGAACTCCCAGGGGCATGAATCCTGTAGTGTTTGTGGTCAAGCAGCATCTCAAATCATGAAAAATAATAATTCTAGTAAGTCCAGAAACAAAATCAATGACATTTTACAAGCAAGGAGACCTGAAGTCTTCCTGTATCTCCTAGCAGTTATTATCTTGAAGGATTTTATATCTTACTTGTATGTTTCATATAATTTAAAACTAGCTTCTTACATTTCTGAACTCAAGGAGGAGGGTGAATCTCCTGACTTTCGGGATTCACGTTCAGAGGATGTTTGTTCTTTTGCTGCATGTACTGTTTGTCCAGAACTAACCAGTTATTTCTGTGATATGGGTTTATTGTGCCTTACAACAAATAAGAAATTTAAGCGGAATGTACGCATTAGAGGAGGGAATAATCAGAAGTCTTTACTGCACTGTTAGATGATGCCGACCCAGAGTGTATCATCAAACGTAGCTGTGCTTAATTACCCAACCAAAGAGATCTAAAGTATGTATGTTTGTTGTACTGTAATAGGGGTTTGTGCCTGGACAATTAAGTGTTTTATTTGTATTCTGAGATGATGTGAACTTATTTTTCTAAACACTATACTGAATAAACTTTATATTTATACACATCTTGTGTAAATATTTCTCTTTAGATACAATATCTGAGGGCTTTGAATTTTGTGTTAAAAGAGCAATCTGAAGTAGCAACTTTGCTGTTGGTGACTCACTGTGAGGGTGATGGCAACTGTGAACTGCCTGTGCTGCTCACAGAGTTGATCTGAAGCCTCCCTAAGCTGGAATGAGGGTTTCTGTTGACCTGAACAGGGTTTTTTTCAGACCCTAACTCTGCTTCTAAAATATTACATTAAAAAACAAATGTATTTCTAGGCATTAAATCTGTGTCTCAAGCCAAATTTATACTGTAATTAAGAAAATACTACTGCAATAAATTCCACACAATGCTTAGGACTGGTCAGTATTTACTCACAGCTTTCTTGGCAGTGGGTCACTTTCTGTATCAGGGTTTCTTTCTGGATAGGTAAATCCCTACTTACTAAATCTGTTGAAGACATTCTTTAGAACACTGCACTTAGTACCAGACCTGGCTTGGGCAGACTTTAGAGAACAGCCTGAAATTTATTCTTTACCCTCAACACTTCAGGATTTAAATGAAGTATCTTAAAAATAATTTAAAAAATAATAATCCCTGTACCAAGAGCTAGGATGCTCTTTTGATGCCAAATCGAGCAGCACAAAGTTCAAGCTAAGTTGTACATCCTTATTGTTTCCCTCACTGAATCCATATACCCATTACAGATCCATTACACATTTCCACCCCTTAAATTGTATTTGGCCCCAAGAAGCAAGATGAGGTCTGCAAGATTATTTTTTTTTTTTTCCTCCAAGAGTTCAGATCCAGTTGGGTGTAGCTATCACATTTTCGGTCACCAAGCCGTTACCTTTCCTCACCTTAATTCACGATTCCTGCGTCTTTCCCATTTATCCAGCAGTGGCACACGTCTTGCTCACTCCACAAGCACCGCTGGTCGCAGTCAGGTGGTGAAAGGCAGTGAGCAGCCTCCCAAACTCGAGAGCATCACCGTCCCTCACTGGCCTGTGGTTCAGCCCGCTCACACTGCAGCTGCTGAGATAAAGCCACTTACCTGGGAGCAGCCCAAAGGTAAAAAGAGACAACTGTGCTGTTGCCCAACTCCTTTTCCTTCCCAGACACAGCGTGTGTGACTCAGTCCTGTCCGTATCACTTACTTTTGGCATGGTACAGGTTTTCCCTGAGCGGTAGGACTGTAATAATATTTTCCTGCCCGCGGGGGCTGGCTGCAGTTCCCAAATACCTGATCGATCCCTGGACAGCAGCTCCGGACGGCTTTGCTTGGACCTAAGAGGCTGAAGCCATCCTTCAGATGAGCAGCTTCTTGCCTTAAGCTTGCCCGTGGAGCTCACCGTTGTCCTTTTAGGTGGTGGGACAGAACCACTGCTGCCGGGTCGGCTCCAGCTCGGGGAGATCCCTTCTGGCTCCACAGCCCCCCTGCTTGAGCAGGCAGAGCACAGGAGTTGGAGGGCAAGTGAGAAGCGGAAAGTCTCTGCCTATGCAAATGTCAAAATTCTCCCTGAGCAGCCACCCATGCGGTATGCAGGATGAATCATGTCCTAACGGAGCACATTCCTACTACTTTGGAGGGCTTTGCAGATGTGTTCCAGGTCACCCTAGGCGAGAAAACCACACACAGCCATGGTTACTTGTTCCCTGGCAGCTTGTGCGCAGATGGAGAAAGGGGGACAGCACCTTCTGAAGGGTGGGCAGCCTGCTCCCCGAGTCAGACCCTTTTACACAGGGCTGGGGGATGCTGGAGGGAGGACCAGGGGCTGCCAATGCAGGAGGGAGCTCAGCTGGGAGAAAGCTGTGCTCAGGCTGATGGTAGGGCTCAGCGAGACGGGCTCTGATCTAGCAGGGAGAGTAACTGGGAAGGGAGGCAACGCTGAAAGACAGTGCTTTTTATCCTCACTTTCTGGCTGGGTTTTCCCTCCTGCGAGATCAGAGGGGAATTTTTGCTGCTCGGAGGCAGAGAGTGGGTCAGTAAAACAAGACCTTAACAGAAGTGCTTGTGGCTTGGACAGCGGAGGTCTCCTCGCAAGGCTGCATCCCCCTGCCTTGGTGACCTCTGGCTGCAGAAGTCTTTGGGCTGGAGGTGCAGGACAGTATATCTCAGTTATGGATACAGATCACATTTTTAATATAGAAATACATTTTAGAAGGAAAATGATTCCCAGAAATAGAAATTCATCTGCCAAACAATGTGCACATAACTGACTTTACACTCGGAGGTGCCAGAAAGTTCAGGAATGAGACCAACAATAAAAACCAACACACGTGTGAAAAATCTACTACATTAAAGCCAGATTCAATAAAAATAGCACCTACTTTATATGCTGCAGAAGCTGGCACGAGCCTGCGAAAGCAGAAGGAAAAAGATAAAATGTTCAGAAGTTGCACACAGTCCAGAGGAATCGAGCAGCGCTGGCGCGGGGCTGATGGTTACTCAATAACTCATGTACAATATTCTCCTGTGTAAGTACTTTAATTCTTCATCCTGCTACTTCTCGGGCAGAAAGACCCAATTTGGAAGGCTCTGGGCTGATCAATAAGCTTTGTTGTTGCAGCCAAAGTGCTTTACGATATATCTTACATTACCCAAAAGGACCCAAGAATGCTACAGCACCATTTTCTTTCCTGCTCTGCAGACTGACATCCAATTATTTCAGCGGGGTAGCCGTGTCCCTTACACCGCTCGCAGCTGTAAAACGCAGCCCCTCCCCTGAGGAGCTCACAGCACGCAGAAACAAAAGAAACGCAAGCTGGGGAGGAGGGAAGACGAGGGCAGAGAGAAGAAATAACTTGCCCAAGGTGATGCTGGAAGTCAGTGGCAGAGGCGGGTTGCAAACCCAGGTCTCTGCCTCCCCCTGTTGCTTTGCCCACTGGCTCACGCCGCCTCCCGAGGAGCCAAATCCAGCTCTGATGCAATGCCCCCTGAAAGCAGCAGGAGGACTTGCTGCTTATGCCAGAGCGGAGCCTGCTCCATTCATTTATTCACTATTTACAGCCGCCTGCCCATGCCAACCGACAGCAAGCCTCGAGCGAAGCCCTCGCGATAAATTGGCTGGCCCTGATCTTCCCAAATCGCTGAAACCAGACAGAGACGGAGCCTGCAAATTGCTCCTGAGCAACTGCTCCTGCGTGGATCATCCTGTGGAGGTGAGGTGTGCTCCAGAGCTCCCTGCTTCCACGTCAGGGTGGCCTGGGAAAGGCTTCCTTCAGCTCCCACCTAGCCCGAGGAGCAGAGGGAGAGATGCTCTCAGGGAGGTGAGGTGGGGTTAGGCCAGAGTCCCAGCTGTGCCTGCTCTTGCAGTGGTTGCTGAAATAATAAATCAAGAAGAAATGACCGCTAAGAGCCTACCCACATCCTGGGAAGATGCAGGGATTTTGCTATTCACCGCTCTCTGAGCAAACGAGGGCAGGCAGGGGAATCGTAGGCAGTTGTGGAAAGCAACACAGCACATACCAACCTAAAGACATTTGCAAGGGACATACAAATCCAAGGGACATACAAATGCACAGCTCACCTGTGGCAAAAAGCAGTGCTTGTTGTGCTGTATGTATGCAGTCAGCATTCACCAGATTAAGACTTAAAATATATATCTATATATCCACTTTAATTTCTCCTGTATGCTAGGAATGACATTAGCTTCCTAAAGACTTCTACAACCTTTTTTCTTCTCTTGGATATAATAATGTTCCTCCCAGAGCTTCTAAACCAGCTGTGTGCAGCCAGCCTTGCTGCATCCTGCATCACTTGCAGGTTTTTATCTCCCCCTGATTTGTCCCAAAGGCAGCCCACACCAAGCTGTAGAAATACAGCACACTTAAGTCTGTCCAGGAGGACAAGGACTGGGCAAGAGACCCAGCAGTTCCAAAAACAAGGGTACCTGGAAGCCGGATGCCGACAGCAGCCTATTTCCAGGTATTGCTTTATCAAGACCACTCCGGCTGTCCTGGAAGCGCTCCCAGGAGCAGGGCGTGCTGTGCATACTGGGCACGGGCTCCTTGCACCCGCTGGAGAACAGCCCCTGCCTCACTGCAGCTGCAATTTATGGGGTAGAGCAGTGCCAGGCTCAAATCTGGATGGCTTCTGCTTCTAGGAATAGCTCCTTAGAGCCACTAGGTTTTGTGCCTGTAAGTTTTTTGGTGAGATCCTCGCCCCCTTTTATCCCCCCCTCTTTTTTTCATGCAATCTAAAGGCAGGGCTAACCCAAATATCAAGGCAGAATAGCTTCACCCCATTTCTGCAAAACCTCCATCCCAGAACATGAGACTCCTTAACCAGTTGCTCTTGGTTTACATTTGCTGTCTGGTTATAGCAGCAATTATTGCCAGTGTATACATAGCTCAGCAGTGCTTCTGTGTCTTTCAAATTTCTTCCCAAAGATCTGGATTTTTACAGTTCAGGCTACAAAAGCAACACTTGTTCAGGTGAATGATACTCATACAGACAAGGAATTGTCATTACAGATGGCCAGAAATACAGTACAAAGCACATTTCACGTCTTAACTGTTTTCAATTCTCAGAATCTTTTCAAAAAGCTATGATAAACTCAATATGGCTGGGATATAAGCAGCTGCTATAAACGGAGATACACAAGACTGGAAGGCAATAGAAAAGCCATACCTAAGCACAAAATGAGACAGCACGCCAGCTTAGGCTTTGCCAGAGCTGAATCCAGAAGCGCCTCCTGCCCAGTGAGCTCAGCAGTTAGGAACAGCAGGACAGCATAGACCTCCTTCACAGGAGCCTAATATCACAGGCCACCACCTTTAAGAACCCATTGCTCCACCTCTGCAGCCAGCTGTTCCCCATTTGCAATTTGGGTGACCAGTTGTTGCTGCCCAGGTGCCCACTGCATGTCCCCACCAAGTCCCTGGGTCCTCAACCAGTGACGCTGGTGCCTCCTAGGTTTTCCTCAGCTGGGTGTATTTCCTGTATTTAACACACACACCCTCTTTCAAAGTCTGGGGTGTTCCTGAAAATACTGATTATATATACATATATATACACACAGATCCTGGTGTTTTGACCTGGAACCAAGAGATCAGCACAACTTCAGAACAATTTCCCACCCATCCTATAGTGGCTCTGCCCAGACTGCATTTCCACAGTGCATTTAGGCATGGAGCAGTATAAAAATGCTGATGACTGACAAGCCATAGTATACTTAACAGCTCTTCCTTTCCCAAATAGCATGGCATGCCGTCAAGAACAGTGAGACTGGCAAGACAGAATATGAGAAACCCACTTAGTACCTGCTAGAAACCAAATCCCAGCAGCTCGTTCAGTGATGATGCTCCATGGTACTGATGTACCGGGTCCTGATGAACCAGGTAATAACATTTCCCAATCTCCTGGCCCTCAGCCCCATCCTAAGCCATGTTCTGATTTGCCAACTTTCACAGTTTATGAGATTTGCAATATTTAGTAACTGGTGAGAGAGAGGAAGTAGGAAGGGGGGTTTTACAGCCACAGCTTCCTGCTCAACTTAAGAATTATGTTCCTGGTTTTTAAAAAATAAAAATTGGAGGTGTTGAAGGCCTCCAAACCGTATTACACATACATGTTGGTTTATTACATTTATTCACCTAGTTGTGTGTAGGCATTTTATCTCAAAGCTGTTGTCATGTTTTTAGGGCCAGCCTCATGCTTTCTGAACCTTTGAGTTGTTAACAAGACACAAGGCACTTCAACAGAATAAACCAGGATATCAAACAGTTACTTTACAAATAAAATGAAAAAACATAAACTTAAAAATAAACTTCTGGGTTAATTTCCTCGACAATTGTAGTCTGATCAGTAAAGGTACCAGATGAGTTTTGACAAAACTCTGTATAACTCAAATATTTCACTGGCCTAAAAACAAATTTAAAATAATACAAATGTATTTCTTCAAATCAGCACCTCTAGTACTAGCTTTGTTTTTAAGGAACTCAATAAAATTCCTATTTACATCCCGTATAAAGCAGGCAGGATTTCCAGAGCATCCTGTGCCTGTCCTTAAACCAGTTCATCATGAGCAAATGGCTCCCAGTTGTAACAAATGGTTCTCAGCTGAGTTACCACTGATAATGAAGACAAGACTAACCTCAGGGGTTGTGGGAAAGGAGAGAGACATTCATCATGTGCCTCGTATTAGCAAACACCTTAAACCCTGTTCTAGGAGAACTCTGAAGTGTTCGTTCTCCCAGGTAGAGACCTGAAGACAAATTTAATCGACTCCAGGATTTCTATTTGCTGCAACATAACAACGTGCTGCAAGAAGAAAAATTGCTGAGCTGCTCAGCTCACTCCGAGTTTTAAAGCTTTGGCCAAAAACAGTAGTTTGAACCTGGCTGAAAGGGTAGCAATGTTTTTCTTCTGGCCCTGACTACAATGGGGGTTGAAATCTTCCAAATGCTTATATTTTTTACAAAATAAGAGGGAGCAGGGAGGGAAAGACAGGATTATTCCGTATTTTCAGTCTGACTCTGAGGCTGGTCTGAACTATAGCTATCTCCCAAGGCTGCTGTTAACCACTGGGAACCCAAACCCCAGTTCCTAAACACCTGGATTTCCATTTCCCCACCTGTACAAGGGAAGTCACAGCACTTGTCACCTTGAGGGGAGAGGCACAGCCAGGCTGCGACTCACCCAGCCGTGACAGCACAGCCCCAACGCTGCGGGTACATCCCACAGTGTTTTTTGGATAACACAACATTAGGATACCATTGAACTTGCTCCTCACATTGATAAATTCTCAAAATCGGCCTGGCTGCAGGAGGGGGTGGTAACAGTGCTCTGCCTCAGCTCTTCCAGCAGCCGCTTCCCATGGCAAATAAATTGCACTCGCACAGCACTGCCTGGAAAGTCTGCATGGTATGTGGCTTAATTTTCTTTTCCATAATATGAAATCCAATCTGAAATGCACAGATTAGTTTACTAATCTGTGCAAATCCTATTAATAGCCCTTACGCTGCTGCGCTCCCATTCACATTCGAACAAATCTGTTGCGTTTGGGTTGGTTTCCCCCCATCTCCGGCCAGACCGTCACCACCTGGTTGTGGTCGTGTCTTCACGAAATGGCTGGCCACAAATGGAAACTTCTGCTTTACGATCTTCTCTCGTAGTTTTCCTCCTGTCCCATGGTCCAACGTGCTCTGGATCAAAGCATTAGCTCTGTAAATCACCGCGGTGCCATTGAAGCTAAAGGGATTACGGGAAGGATCGCTCGGCTTTCGTGGGGAAGGGCAGAGCCTGGGCCCTCCTTCCCTGCAGCATCGCTGCCTTCCTCGCCAGCTGGGCCCCAGGCACCTTGCTCAGAACCGAGCTGTGCATGAACCACCTAATCCTTCTGTACCTCATGTCACTGTTACCCCAGTGTCCAAACGCTTTTTGTGTCCGCCAGTGGCAAAAGGACAGCACCACACCATTATTTTGGGTAATGGAAACCCTCACACCAGTGTTCTGGCTGCTGGAAGTGGTCTGTGGCCCTCAGGCCAGGGTGCTGGGTGATTGAAGAAGCCCATGACCCTCAGGCCACGGTTCTGGCTGCTGGAAGTGGCCTGTGGCCCTCATGACAGCCTTCTGGCTAATGGAGGAGGCCCATGGCCCTCACACCAGGGCTCTGGCTGCTGGGAACGGCCTGTGGTGAGGGCCGGCCGAGCTGACCACCCTGGCCTTGCCTTGCACCTATGGTCTGCACGGCGATTTGGGCCCCTGAGGGCCTCACTGACAGCATTAAGGGTTTTGGGCCCCTCTCAGCCACCACCAAGCTGCCCCCACTCCCCTTCCAGGCATGGGGAGATTTCCTCTCGTCGCTGTAGAATCTGCTCAAGATACAGCTTCACCGCCTCATAGTTTCTCCTAAGTTGTTTTTAATGACCCGCATAATTCCTGCTGTTTTGCATGAAGATTAGCTCAGGAATTGTTTATAATTCCTCAGCGTAGTGGAAGAAACGTTTTAAAAGCATTGCCCGCACAAGAATTTCTCCCCAAATTGCTCCTTACAAGGGGGGTTGTGGTTGTTCCCTATGTTAAAGCCTGCCTGTGAAGCAGGCATTTGTCTTTGTATCTTCAATCTCTTTCTATAGGTGCCTGTTGTGCCATGTTGTGTCTGTTAAAACACCACGGAGGATAAAAAGAAAAAGAAAAAAAAAAAGTGGAATTTTTAGAGGGAGCCGACCAGCCAAATACAATATGTGGCCAGACAGAATCAGAAGCGCTGGCTGCAGTACAAACCCGAGAGGCTTCAGACAAGCCAGCCCAGCCACAACGGTAATGGTTCACCAGCAGAAGGAATGCAGTAAACAAAATGGGGGGAAGCCCCCCGTGAGCCCCCTCCTTCATTCCTTTCCCCCAGAAAGCTGCCTGGCACGGCAGAGGCTAACCTCACAGAAAGTGGTGGCTTAGATGCTGAGGCAGCACAGGAGCGCCCTGTGTCAGGCCCTCTGCACATGCACTGCGCTCTTGTGAAATCAGTGAGGTTTTCCAGCCTGGCTGGACCCAGCGTCAGGCTTCAGAAACTCGGGGCTCAATTTCCACTGCAAGTTTTGGTGTTAATGCCTGCAGCTTGCTGCAGCCTTTTTTTGCTTCTCGCAGCATGCACCACTGGTGCACAGGTACAGGGCCCTGTCCTGAGTGGGCCCCTCCATGTCTCACGGTGATAAAACTCACTTTCGAATGAATTTTAAAAGGAGAATTTGAAATTGGCTGCAGTGTAAAGGACCACAAGTCCCACACCTTGGTACATCCCCGTCCTCTGTGCATAAATACCAGCAAGGTGCCAGCTCGCCCCCCAAGCACAGCTCCAGCATCCTGCTGAGGTTTGCAGACTTGGGTAAAAGCAATGGGGGTGCCAGCAGCTGCTGTGGCCACCTTGCCTTCACAGCCAGGATGCTTTGGAAAGTGATCCTATATAAAAATAAAAATAAAAATAAAAATAAAAATAAAAATAAAAATAAAAATAAAAATAAAAATAAAATAAAACCCAAACCCCAAATCTTTCACACTTCATCCTCCTGTTCAGCCAACCAGCTCCTTCAGGGACCCGTATGTTGCATTTAGTAATAAAGTTCTGCCATTGCCACCCCACCTCAAGAAGTGTAACAGCAGAGAGAAGGGCTTACAGATATGTTTTGGGAGACACTGGCATTGCCAAAATGCTTCAGAATTAAAGAGGCTTCAGCTGGTATGAAAAGAGATGAAAAAAGGGGAGGAGAGAGAACTACAGCCATTGGATGGATGCTGGGATCTGGTCCACTTGTGGCACGAAGGATATTAAATGAAACGAAACCAAAACTCAGTGGAACTGAAATTTAATGAAACCAAGAGACAGCAGACCTCTCTATAATTAGCCTACAGGATTCACAGCCAGAAAATACCATAGGAGCCAAAAGCTTTTCACAGTAAGACTGGAAATATACATGTACTTGCATGGCCAGACATATATGTATGTGTAATATAACTGCGGTGTCTCGGGGCTGGAGAGGACCTGACATCTCCATTCAGCCTTTTCCTCAACTCCAAGACAGGATCAAATGCATGGCGGTATTTTCTGACAGATGTTTGTCTAGACCTGTTTTTAAACGTGAATCTCCCACCTCCTCGGGCAGTTTATTCCAATGCTTCCTTTTCTTCTTCAGCTTTACGCACACACACATGCACGCACGCACACACGTGTATCTGTCTCAGAAGGTGAGCTGAGCTGTCTCCGATGACTTGCACATCAAAAGGCTTGTAAAGTCATTTCTTGTGGCAAGATCTTTATTGTGAATGATGTATGAGCCCAAAAGATCCCATCTTGACCTGACTTTACAGGCTGAGCTTGGGGGACCAGCAGATGGGGTAAGGGGGGCAAATGGGGAAGGAGGGGGAAATTCATTCCTTTCCTTATTAACTGGCCAGATTTGGTCTCCTGATAAGAGACCCACATGCTGCTTTTGTATACTCAGGTTTAAGACTCGAGCATTCAGTTCCTCTGATTTGGGTAAAATAAACACACTTTTGGCTTCTTCAGCAGCCACCTTGGAAGAGCTGCTGTCCTGTCAAACTCCGGGAACAAAAAGGACGGGTGAGGAAGGAGGCTGTGCATCTGGATGTGCAAATGGCCCGATGGAGAGCAGCACTTTTCCAGCACACCCTGGGTATCTATTACCCCGACTTTCGGACTGACAATGCACCAAATGTTTCAGTGCCTGGGGCCTTACAAAGCTGACTGGCTTTTTTAGCTGAAAGCACTAATGTAGAAAGGCAATTGGGGATTAATTATTTAATGCGATCCTCATTGGTAGAAAGCTTCTTACCCCTCCTGCATCTCAGCTACCATTATACATATGTTGCTTTCTTCAGACTACAGTGATTAGACAGCAGCAGAAAATTATGGCTAAATCCAGTCCCCTCTTACGACGAACTCCATTTAAATCTGCAGAATTGCACTCAAGTAAGAGCACAATTTAGCCCCATGCTATGAAAACGTCGGTCGTGACAAAACCCGTAGGCAGGTCTCAGCATCTCCATTTCTGAAAATCAGCCGGCTCGTACCTCCGCTCCTGACACTCCCTTTGACAGGCAGTGGAAGACTATTCCTGTTTAAAAATTAAAATACCTGCAAGAAGCACTAGTATCAGTAGGAAATCAGGATGAGATCCCTTCAGTGCGGGTGCCCGGATGCCTTGCTGTGCGTGGCGGAGCCGAATGAGCAGGCAGGAAGGTGAATTTCTGAATCTGCGCCGCACGCTGCTTCAGCTCCCGTTTCTCAGGGATCCTAAAGATAAGCATCTATTTCATTTGGAGTGTTTTTAGTGATGACCTGTGTAAAAGCAAACGTCCTTTTGAAGATCACTGAGCAACAGCTGCATGCCAGAAACTCCCATTCAAGTTACTTTAAGAGCATAAGAATCAGGCCCTGTGTATTTAAAAACAAACGTTTGCAAACCAAGATGCTGCAGGAGGGCTGATAAGGGGCACGGACTTACGGTGTCAGCTGTCATGGATGGCAAAACAGTAACTTCCCCGCAGCCACTGCCTCTGAGATGTTCTGGACGAAGCCTTGACAGGATCCTACCGAAATTCAATGCAGTGAATTACGCCAGGCATTAATTTAATGTAAGATATGGTATATTCCCAAACATAAATGTATTAGTTTTGCTTTTTTCGTCTCTTCAGATGAAAGAAATACAACTGTACAGATGTGTTTTTCTAAAATCCAGTGGCATGAAACCTGAAATACCCCAGCAAGATTCAGGAGTGAGAAGTTTTAATCACCATGGAAGCGAGGCACTTTTGAAGGTCTATGAAATTATATACCCGGCTCTGAGAACGGTAAACTTATCCGTCCGGACAGATCTGCTGATAAACAGATACAACTCATTTTCTCCTGGAAAGCTGCTTTATACGTTGCTTGAAAAAATAATCAGTCATGCAAGACAGGTTTATGCTGGGAAGAGAAAGGAGCAAAAAAAAAAATAACACAGTGCTCGAAGAGAAGGAAAAGGCGAGGCGGTACGAAAGTAACCGCTTCGTTTCAGCAGCTCCCTGCGAATTTAGGGGGCGGAAGAGAAAAGGGGCTGAGCATCTCTCAGGGCCAGACGGAGCAAGGCCAGCGACGATGGAGGCATATGGACGCCCACCCCGCGCGCAGACAGAGCGGGGACCCCCAGACCCGGCTTACGCAAGGTGACCTTTCCCCTCTCTAAAATTTCAAAGCTGGCGTTGCCGGCGCTGAACAGACTGCGTGCCATATGTAACGTGACCTCAGCTCCGCTCTGCCAAGCCACTGATGGCATCACTAATGAGAGGTGAAAGGTCCCTTTCTCGCAGCGCTCTCGGAAACCCACCGAGGCGGTGGGTGCGGGACGGGCCCCCCCGGGCTCCCAGATGCCCTCCCAAAATCGTGCCTGCACCCAACCCCGCAGCCTGAGCTGTATCGGGCACGGTACCCGGGCAGGAAAAATATTTGCTCAGTGCCCAGATGCAAAAAGTGCAGGTAAACAGAGCCATTTATGTAAATCTTGTACCCATTCTGCCCCGTGTGAGCCCTGTGTGTACAGAACGGATTATGCGCTTTGCATCGCCCGGGCAGGGAATATGGATTTGTGCTTTCAGACAGCCAAAAGGGAGGGGAGTGCGGGCCCGGGCAGCCGTAGGTGCCAGCAGGTAAATAAAGCACCCTGGGAGAGAGAAATACTGAGAAGGGATGGGTTTGCCCCCCCCCCCCCATCAAACTGCTGAGGCCCTTACGGGTGGGACTGGGGGTCCCACGGCATGGGCACGTCCAGGTGACCCCAATGGGAGCAGTGGGAAAAGTGGCAGTGCCCATCCAAATTGGCTTTTTTTTTTTTTCAGTTTTCATTATTTTTCTTTCTGCAGGATTTTTTTTTTTTTTTTTGCATTTTTTTTAATATGTTTTCACCTTTTTTTTTTTTTTTTTGCATATTTTTACATTTCTTGCACAAAAAAAATATTGTCATGTCTTGCAGAAAGAAAGAAAATAAAAGTCTCATACCTCTTTTGGGCAAATACCGAATTTTTGCTTTTTCTTCTCACCATTTCCCCAGCGCCCCCCTGCCCCCAGCCACCCCATAAGCAATGCCTGCTCGGGGCTCACCTCTCCCGAGCACCCAGCTCCTTGCCCTGGACACGCGTGGGTGACCCAGACACGTGCACGAGTGGGTGGCTCCTGCGTGGAGACACGCGTGGGGTGCACACACGGGTGGGGATGGGGTGCGTGCACAAGGTGTGCGTGTGCCCCAGTGGGTGTGTGCACACGGGTGTGCAAAGCGCACATGCAAGGAGCTGTGCACACACGCACACGGCTGCAGGTGCATCCGTTCGTGGGTGCACACGGGTGGACAGTGGGGGCGTGCAGGTGGGAGGCGTGGGTGGCTCAGGGGGGACACCCAGAGCTTTGCGTGGGGCAAACTGGGGGCTCCTTCCCAGGGCCTGGGTACCCGGGGCTTTGTGCCAGACACGTCCCCACGGCCACGCGTGTCGCGGTGCGGGAGGTGCGGGGTGGCTTCGGCGCAGCGGAGGAGTTAAACCCCGCCGCTGTCCTTGGGTTTTAGGAAACTGCTCATCCAATTCGGTTCCAGATTATTCAGGGGCAGGCTGACTCGCTCGCTCCCCACACCAGCCCAAACATCTTGAAGTAATCAGCAGCTGAGAACGGAGACGTCCCCCTGGCATCTCAGGTTAAAGAAGGAGGTCCAGGAAAATGTGGTAGAGCCATTACAAGAAACCTGAGATGCATTCATCAGAGACTCCAATTGCCATCGCATTAGGATTGATTAGAGACCAGCAGTACCGTAATGACCCGGAAAGAGGGGCATACGGGGATTATTAATATCAGACTTAAAGAAAAAAAAAAAAAAAAAAAAAAAAAGGAGGAGAAAAAAAGAAGGGAGGAGGAAGGAGAAGAAAAGAAATCGCATTGCAGGGCTGCTGCTGCTCGTATACAAACTTACCTGGGGAGTGCGGGCACCGGAGAGCCACCCGGGCGGCCACCTCGCTGCTGGGGGAACAAGCGGGTGGCACAGGAGCCTGGGGCCCCCCAAAATCGCCCGAGGGGGTGCAGGCTGCGGGGGGCGGCTCGGAGAAGGGGTCCCCGCGCCCCCGGGCCGGCGGCGGCAAGGACGAGTTAAGGAGGCTCCGAGAGGAGCAAGGAGACCTCGGCGGCTCGTCTCCTTCTCGGTTCCCTGCGCCAAAACAAATCAGCCCCTCCTGGTCTGGGTTTAAATGCAGCTCACTGGATAATTAACTCCATCTTTCCAGCCCTGCTTTAACTGTTTATTTAGTGTCACCCCGTATTACCATCACTAGCACTTTCCTCTGAACAGGAGGAGCTGGAGGGTTTCACCTCCCAAAAGGAAATTCTTCCTAGCTTAAAAAGAATCAGCATCCCGGAGGTACACGAGCGAGCAAAAAGGGGCTGCGGGGGGGGGGGGGGTCCCAGGACAGGGAGGGGGTACGGGAACACCGGGTCCGGGTCAACCCACGGAGAAAAAACCCACTCGTGGCCACCTCCCGTCCTTCGGACAGCGTGCCGGTAAGTGCGCGGAGAAAGGGCCCGCTGCGCCCCGCTTGCGCGCTGCTTGCGCCCCGCTTGCGCCCTCCGCGGGGTCCCGGCTGGGCCGGGCCGGGCCGGAGCCGGGTCCCCGTCCCCTCCCCGGGATCCCCTCCCCGGGGTCCCCTTCCCTCGGCCCCCGGCGTTGTTTTTACAGGTGTCCGGAGGGCGATTTACCAACACGTAATTAAAGGTTGCGCCGGTTTGCAGGCGCTCGGGGCCAAAGGCTCCTGCGAGACAAGAGGGATGCATATGGAGAGGGGCTTGTCCCTCCCTCATTAAAAAAATAGAATAATAAAGGGGGAGAGAGGGAGAGAAAGCAAATACAAATCCTTTATTGTTTAGAAATACGCCAAGGAAGCTGGCTGTCTCCCCTGCGCCTCGCATTCGGCAGGGAAGGCAACACGGATCCGGTATCACGTTGCAGATTCTCACTGAAGATAACGAAATGTGATCTATTTTTCAGAACAGCAAGTGGATGGGAAAGGAGCCCTCTACAACACAAACCTCATTGACTAATGGGCCGGTTTTGGGTTTCGCCTTCGAAAGGTTCGGAAATGGGCAGCGTTGTGTTACTGCCCTGCCGGCTCCCAGCCTCCGAGGCAGCACACGGCTTATTAGCACCGCCGAGACACGGCTCCGAGGAGGGGAAAAAAAAAAAAAAAAAAAAAAAAAAAAAAGCGCTCCCGCTTTTATTTCGTCGCGATGCCTCCTTCCCCAGGCCCCCACACTTCGAGACGAAAACAAAACAAAAAAATGAGAAAGCAACAAAATTAAATTTCTTGTAGGAAGAGGGTTATTTCTAAGGGGAGAGGGGACGCGCGTTCTGCCTGTTTTCTCCATTGTTTTGCTGTTTGTTTTTCCGGCGAAATCGATGAAAAGCCGCCGAGTGCCTTTGCACGAGCCCCGTCTTCCCCCCCAGTTCCTCGCCGCATCGAAAAATCACGAAAAATAGGAAAATTTCCAGCGCAAACGCCGCGGATCCGCGCCCCGGCGGCGGCGGAGGCAAAGCCGGCGGGGAGAGGCTCCGGAGGCTGCAAAGCCCGGGCTGTGCCCAGCCTGCGGGCTGCTGCCCCTCGCCTCCCGAGAAATAAAGGGGCTGGCGGCTCCTCCGAGCCGCCTCGTTGTTGTTTGGGTGTTTGCACCCACTTCTGCTTTATTTCTTCATTTTTTCATGATTACTGTTTTTATTTTTTTTGCGGCTCGAAACCGTTTCTGCGTGATTTTGAACGGGGTGAATGGCACGGCGTGCTGCGCGAATCCGTGCCATTTTACCCCATTCCCGTGGTTTAAAGCGAAAGGTTTCCATTTTTAGGAAAAAAAAAAAAAAACAAAACAAAAAACAAGCCCTGCGATAATTAACATCCCCCACGAGCGGCTCTGGGCTGAGCACTTAGCCCCCAGGTGGAGCCCACCAGCGGACCGCCGCCGGCCCCTCCTCGGGCCAGTTTCGGGGAGCCTGGAGGAATAAAACCCCGCTCCCCAAAATCTCGGGGAAGCCTCTCTCCGGCCGCCAAGGGGATTTTTGCTTCTTCCCAGCCACCGCGGTGTTTATTTTGGTCGGCCTTTTAAAGGAAAGAGAGGAGAAAGGCGAGGGGGGATAGAAACCAAGCTTGGGGCTTCCCCAGCCTCTTTTTTTGCGTTTTCCTCACCCTCAGCCCGAGGGTACGAACCCGTGGCTCGGCTCTTTCCTATTTTATTCGAGACTAGTGATAAAAATAAAGGGAAATAAAGCAAAAGGAGGGCGGGGAGCCCGTCCCCGGGCTCGCAGCTGGACATGGCACCGCTCGTCCAGGAAGCGGCCGCGGGAGGCTGCGAGCCCATGCGCTGTAATTCTGCGCACTTGCTCCAGACTTTAGGGTATTAGTTGATTTTAGAGCCGGGTTTTAAGGCTCCGTTCCGGTCCCCACACAGCTGCCTTGTCAATAAGGATCTGTTCCAAGCAGACATTCCTTCTGGGAGGACATTGCAGCTCTTTAAGACTTCATCTGAAACATCATAAGTACTAAAATAAAATGGCAAGGGAAAATTACCAGACACATGCTCATGGGCACTGCGCAGACGGGGTGGCAGGGGCTTATTTTAAACGGCCCCGAGACGCGAAATACACGGGGAAAACAAGCTCCGGGGCTTGGAGAAAATATCTTAGGGCACGGGCCTTTCCCCTGCACGGCCAGGAGGGTGGAGAGGTCCCGGGGGTCCCCCCGGATAGGGACAGGGACAGAGGCAAACTGCGGCCCCAAACTGCTCTTAAAAGCGAATAAATGAAGCCGGAGCGCTTCAAACCGAAGAAATCAGCCCGGCTTTAGCGGGGAAAATCAGGTTTTAAAGAGCCCCGTGAAGCGGTTCCTTAACCAGAAGCGGTCTGAAGTGTGCTTAAAACGCCGCAGATCGCGGAGAAATAGGGGCAGGAGGACCCCCCCCTCCCCACCGCTCCCCTGCCCTTATCTCAGCGCATTGTCCTCCTCTCCCAGCCCGTCCCGGCTCCTGACAATAGCTTATCTTTGTTTAGGGAGCCTAATTGTTTTCTAATTTTTCCTAAATAATTGCTTAGGAGCGAGGTGTGCAAATGAGGATTAGGGTAATTAAAGCGCCGCCGGTCGGTGCAGTTTGCGCTCCCGCTTTGCCCCAGGGGGGGGTGCGGGCAGGGGCTGCTCTCTCCGGGCCCCCCCCGGACTCTTATGGGTAAAACTGGGGGGGCAAAGGGTGGGTAAAAGGACGGGGTAAAAGGGGAGGGGGTAAAAGGGGAGGGTAAAGGCGAAGGGGGTAAAAGGGGAAGGGATAAAAGGGGAGAGGGGTAAAAGGGGAGAGCTGCGGCGCGGGGAGGTTCACTGCGCATTATTTATTCATCCCCGGCATTAAGGTAATTAAAGACGGGCTGGATGCACGGGGACGGCGAGCGGGCGAGGAGGAGGAAGGGAGGGGGTGAACAAAAATAAATAAATAAAATAAAACGATCAAAATAAAGGGGAAGGAAGGCAGGAAAACCCAAGCTCCTTTTCCGAGGATTGGGGGGGGGGGGCTGAAATCCCCACCCCGCACCCGCGCAGAGGCGGCGGAGGGAAGCGCAGCCGGGGCCGCCAGGCTCCGCCCGCCCGTGCCGAGGCTCTGCCCGCCGGGCCGGGCTGGGCTGGGCCGGGCTGGGCCGTGCCGGGCCGTGCCGTGCCGGGGGCCGAGCCGCGGGCGCCCAATCAGCGCGGCGCGGGGGCTCGGGCGCTTTAAGCGCGGCGGCGGCGGAGCGGGGACAAAGTCCCCCCGGCACCGCACCGAGCATCCCCGCTCCGGGGAGCGGGCCGGGATCGGTAACCGGGACCCCCCCCTTTTCTTTCTTTCCTTCCTTCCTCTGCCGTCTCCCCTTCGCAGCCCCTCCGGCCGTGCCACCGCCGCCCAGCCCCGGCCATGTCGATGCTGCCGTCGTTTGGGTTCACGCAGGAGCAGGTCGCCTGCGTGTGCGAGGTGCTGCAGCAAGGGGGGAACCTGGAGAGGCTGGGCCGGTTCCTGTGGTCCCTGCCGGCCTGCGACCACCTGCACAAGAACGAGAGCGTCCTCAAGGCCAAGGCGGTGGTGGCTTTCCACCGGGGCAACTTTCGCGAGCTCTACAAGATCCTGGAGAGCCACCAGTTCTCGCCCCACAACCACCCCAAGCTGCAGCAGCTCTGGCTCAAGGCGCACTACGTGGAAGCCGAGAAGCTGCGGGGCAGACCCCTGGGAGCCGTGGGCAAGTACCGGGTCCGCCGAAAATTCCCCTTGCCCCGCACCATTTGGGACGGCGAGGAGACCAGCTACTGCTTCAAGGAGAAGTCCCGGGGCGTGCTGCGGGAGTGGTACGCGCACAACCCCTACCCCTCTCCGCGGGAGAAGCGGGAGCTGGCCGAAGCCACCGGCCTCACCACCACCCAGGTCAGCAACTGGTTCAAGAACCGGAGGCAGCGGGACCGAGCGGCCGAGGCGAAGGAAAGGTACTTGAGACCCCCCCCCGCGCCCCCGGCCCTCCCCGCTCCCGGCCCTACGGAGGCGGCCGCCGATCGCTGCCCGGCTCCCGGCGCCCCCGGCCGGGGCTGGGGCTGGGAGAGGAGCCCGCGACCCCCCTCCCCCCCGACCCTCTTCACCCCCTGCCCCCCTCACCCCCGATCCTTCTCTCTCACAGCCCCCTCGCCCTTTTTGCAGCCCCCCCCCCCCCCCCGGCCGCGCTGCTTCCCCCCTGCAAGCAATTCGGCTCCAGCAGCCGGCTGGAGCTGGGGATCCCGCATCCCCCCCCCCCACCCACCCAAGGGATTAGGGGGGCTGCAAGCCGGTTCCCACCCGGCCCCGGTGCCGATCCCACCTGCCCGGGGGGCAGCGAGCCCCTCGGCCGCCTCCCCAGGCCGCCCCCGCCTTTGTTCGGTGCCTTCCGCCCCCACCCGCCCGGGGTGGCCTCGGTGCGAGGCGGTGGCTCGGCTCGGCACGGCTCGGCACGGCTCGGGCTGCGGGCCGCCGGCACGGCCAAAAAGGGGGGGAAGGCTCGGGGCCGGCTCTCATCGCCCCCCGGCTTTGGGGCGGCCGCCGGCGGCCCTAAAGAGGCCCGGGGAGGAAATAGGGCCGGCCGGCCCCTCCGAGCCTTCCCGGGCCGCGGGGCCGCGCTTCGATTTTTGTAATGAAAAAGACGGGGAAATGATAATAAAAAAAGCTCGGGAACCCCAACTCCTCCTCCCCACCTAACTCACCGGGCTCTCGGGGGTATGCGGGGCAGCTGTCTTACCAGGGGGGCAGCTGCGGGGCCGCTCCGTTAGGAAAATACGAGGCGCTCGCTCGCTTTTTTCTTTCCTTTTTTTTTTTTTTTTTCCTTCTTTCTTTCTATTTTTTGTTTGTTTGTTTGTTTTTACCGGGGGCGGCCGCGGGGCCCCGTCGGGGCTGGCATCCCGGCTTTCTCTCCCCCTTTTTCCCCCGGTAACTTCCCCGCTCTGCTTGTGCCCTCCGCAGGGAGAACACGGAGAACTCCAACGCCGCCACCAACAAACCCAACCAGCTCTCGCCCCTGGACGGGAGCAAACCCCTCCTGTCCAGCTCCGAGGAAGAGTTTTCTCCGCCGCAGAGCCCCGATCAGAACTCGGTCCTGCTCTTGCAGGGGAACCTCGGGCACGCCAGGAGCTCCAGCTACCCCCTGAGCGGCTTGGCCGCCCCCCAGAGCGCTCACAGCCTGCCGGGCCACCAGCTCCAGGACTCGCTGCTGGGACCCCTCACGTCCAGCCTGGTGGACCTGGGCTCCTAAAGGGCCGCCACGGGACAGGAGGCTTTGCCCGGGGACACGGACTCTCGGTCGTACTCAGCGGACAGCCTCCGGTTTCGCAGCTCGCCCTCTTAACGTGACTCTCGGCTCTTTTCACTCGACCCCACATCGGTCCAGTTCTCCCCCCTCCCCAGCGTCTCCCGCTATCATCATTATTGTTATTTTATTATTTTATTTTTTTTTTCCACGTAGCCAAACGCAGAGAGCAGCAGAAACCCTCGTCCCTTCGAGTTCAAACGAGCTGGTCCCAGCGGGAATTACAAAAAAAATATATATTAAAAAAAAAAAAAAAAGCAGCTGGATCCGATTCCACCCGAATAAATCCCAGCCCCGCAGGCGTGCTGGGGCAGGGGCGGCCGGGGGCGTCCCGTCCTTGTCCCTTGTCCCTGTCCCCGTCCCCGCGGAGCTCGCACGGAGGCAGAGGGAGCGGAGCGCTGTGCCCTAGCGGGAGGAGGGAGGGGAAGTTTCGTTTACATTTTTCATATTTAGCGTTACCAGGAAAGATTTCGATGTAGTTGAAATTTAAAAAGAGGGGGAAAAAAAAAAGGAAAAAAAGAAAAAAAAAAAAGAAAAAAAAAAAAGCTGCAGTATTAGAGTTTTACCAAGTGCCTATGTCTTAACGCGGCGGTGCGGGGCTAGCGAGTTCCCGTGGGCCCGTGCCCCCCGGGCATCCTTCTCCTCGGCTGGGCAATGCATCGACGTGGCTAAAAACGAGGAGAACAGAGCTAAGAATAACGCGAGGTGCCGGCCCTTTCCTCCTGAGCGAGTATTTTCTCGGGCTGCCCCGCCAGCCCCACGCTGCCTTCTCCTGTCCGTCCCCGCTCGCCGCCCTCCCGGTTCGGCTTGCGAGGAGCCCGCGGCCGAAGCTGTCTGTCTCGAGTATTTGTTCCCAGAACTAGCATGTGCTTTCAGGTTTCTTTTCTATTGTACCTAAAGAGGCTAAATTAAAACCGCGCTGATGGCAGAACTGCGAGGCTGCGCTCTTCTTTGCGGGGCTGAGCCCCCCGACGTGCCTCGGAGGCGCTGGGGGCTTGGGGGGAGCCTCTCTCCTTCCACGCAGCCCCTTTTTGCTTTGCAACCGAAGGATGGAGGGATGGAAGGAGGGCTCGGGGAGGGCACCCCGGGGTGCCTGGCCGTGGGGTGGGCTCCGTCGGAGCGCGGAGCCCGGCCGGGGGGAGCCGCTCGCCGCCCGCCCCGTCGGGGCCTCCGCCGCTGGCGGTGCCGAGCTCCCCCGTTAGCGTTTTGCATCATTAAACGCGTGTTTATTTAAGTCGCTGCCGTGTTTGTTCTCGAGGTCCCGGGCCGTGGAGAAATGTCACCCTCTGCAGGAGGGTCTTCCCAGCTCCGCCGTCCTCCCCGCAGCATCCCGGGGGCTCTTCGCAGCTCCCTCCGGTCCCCCTGCCCTGCCCGTGGTCCCGGGAGGACAAA